TATTTGCGGAGCCTCCTATTCCAGTGAGTTGAAATTCTATTGGTATATAAATAGTAAGAAAAATGGGAAAATGAGTAGGACCAATTAGAGATTTACACTTGGAAGTAGTTTGTAAGGCTGAGATATTAAATGAATACTTTGCATGCCTTTACCAACGAGGGTTTGCTACCCAAGCTATGCTGACTGAGATAGAAATTATTTAAAATTGTTTAAAATTGATGAGGAAGAAATCTTGGACAGATGCAGTACTTAAAGCTGACAAGGCACCGAAACTGGGTAAGATGCAGCCAAGCATCTTGAAGGAAGTGAATGTGGAGCTTCCAGTCTTCCCTAAACTAGGCAGAACACAAAAAGAGGTGCTTTTAATTAAAGTTTACAGAAATAATTAATAATCTTCAAAATGCACAGACACTTGCAGATGAATTTCAATGCAGAGAAAAGTGAAGTGATGCATTTTGATAGAAGAAACATGGAGAGATAATACAGCCTCAAGTTGAAATAGTTGTTAAGGCAGCCAATAGATACCTATAAATGAGAGGCATAGAGTATAAAAACATGGAAGTGATACTACACCTCCACAAATAAATGGCCAGACCACATTTGGAGTATTGTATTCTGTTTGGTCACCTTATTTAAGGAAGGATGTTAAAGCCCTGGACTGAGTGCAAAGGAGATTTATTAGAATGAGACCAGGAATGAGGGCTTTTAGATACAAGGACAGATTAGAGAAATTGGACTTATTCTTCTTAGGGCAGAGAAAATTAAAAGGTAGACCCTACTGAGGCTACAAAACAATGAACAACTTTGACAGGGTAAAGAAGGATATTGTGTTTCCACTAGTTGTTTAAAGTGTGCAACAAAAGTGTGACAGGAACAACCATCACACTGCTCAACATTACCAATTTTCATTGCAGTTTGTCCTTCATCTAGCACAGCTTTTTATGAATATTTACATTTTAAATGTTCCCCTTAATTGATCATAGTTTATTAGTGGGACTGCACACTCTTGCTCCACAACAGATTTTATTTCTCTCCCCAAAGGGTTTGTTATGGTCTTCATTTGCCCAACAGACTACCTGCCAGGTTGCCAAAACCCCCAGCAGCTATTTTCTGGCCTAGGTACATGTTGCAGCTAAAATTATGTTGGTTTGACCAATTCCCCCAAAATGTTCTCAGCCCATGTTCCATCTAAACTGCAGTTATGCACTAATCCAAAAGCTTCACACAAGCTGGCCCCTTTATGTTGCCATACATAAAAAGTTAAAAGGACAGCACACTAAACAAGTCACCTGTACACAACAAGAACATTAGAGGGTATGCCAGTCCCAGTGACTGCCACATCACATAAGCAGAAAGCCCTGTCAGAATGCCAATTTTATGCTAAGTTTCCACTTAAAGTTGTATATTGTAGATGATTTCTGTGGAAAACTCCAGCATTGCCTTCCATCAATTACCAATACTCAGTATCAAGTCTGAATTACTTGGACAAATCTAAAAATTGACTGCAGCGGAGCCCTGGAACTACAGATGTATCTCCTTACATTTGGGCTGGATTTTATTTTGGAATTTTGTTTAATCGGTGTTCTTTCAAGCATAGATGGGAAAACTGCAGGAAGGTCATGTCATCTCCCCCATAGCAGACCAAGCAATTTGCAGTATTCAACTTTGTTTGAATACAAAACCAACACCAGTGTGCAAGTATGCACCTAAGTTTACATCAGAAAATGTGTGATTTCAATGGAATGAAATCAGGTGGGTCTATTAGCTGCCAAATGAAAGTCTCTGCCAGATTACTGCCCATGATGAATGTTGTTTGATGGTTATATTAAAAAAATGTAAAGTTAATCCCCACCATTTTTGCTGCAGCTGTTATCCTTCTGGTGGGTGGCAGATTTTAAAATTTCTTGAAGATCACAAAATGATATTCAACAAAACAAAGTGATATTCAAAAGAAGGGCAAGTATCTAGCCACCATTGGTACCTCTGTCAATATCAAAGCAGGTATAAAAACAGAAAATGCTAAAAATATTGATTAACTCACTTAATGATATTACCATAACTTGTACAGCAGTAAATATTTGTACTGCAAAAACTTGCAACAGGGCTAAAAATAAATATTCATCCTCTGTCATTTGAATTTTCTTTTTAAGCCACATGGAGATGCTAGTCATTCTCGGTAGTATGGGGGTGGGGAGGTGGGCTTGTGGTTGAAATAACTGTAGGGGATGAAACATGTACAGGGTACCTGACAATCATTTGATTTGATTTAAACAGAAATTGAAATTTAGTGTAAAATTGCAAATGTATATACTAAAATGCCAATTATCCTTTGTAGCCTCAACTATATTAGGACTTAACAACAATTTAGGAGTTGACTGGGCGGAGATACACCTTGCCTGCTCTGTCCAGTTTCAGCTAGTGGTGTAGCTGAACTGGTCAGGAGATAATTTTTAAATAGCTTTGTGCCAAGAGAAACCTTTAGATAATGCCCATTGAAGAATCTAAGGGAGAATTTAATATGCTTTAGGATCCCAATTACTTTATATTGCATTTCCAGAACCTATAGAAAGCATCTCACACACAAAATTTCACAAATTAAGACATTCACTGCACAGACACTAAAATCAACATAAGCTAAACATTATTTAATAGGCAACTTAATACATTAAACTGCAGAAAGAAAAATACATTGCATATGAATGAATTAACACTGTCAAAAACCCCACAGTATGTTTAGATGTTATGATATACACTAAACAGATAGGTACCCTTGCAGGTACAGTCTAAACCCCTCCCAGTAGGCTCCCTTCTCCCCATCACATCAGGGTGTACCTTCTGGTGTTCTTTACAATGCCACTTTACCCAATCTCCTGAATTTCATTGAACTGCCTTTCAGTCGCAAGGGGTGCCTCCTTGACCTTTATAAAATTTCATATCTTCAAATGGAGAATCATTTACATCAGCATTCTGCTGAAGGTAAGATTTTCCTGCAATTTATGTTTTTGTTTCAAAATGTCTTTTCTTCTCCCTGGTATAAAAGTAGCTACTCTTGGTCTTCCTGTCCAAGTATTTCTGTTTCACTCCAGTGCCTCTGAATCTGAAAGTCTGCAATCAAAAAAACCAGCTAATCTTTGATTCAAAGTGGGAAAATTTGTAGTTGAGGTTTTATGGGATTTGACCAGGGCCTATGCCCCTTTTGCAACTAAATCACAGGGGAGTGATTCCAGGCAGAATTTAGGATGGTTAACATCCCCCTCTTCACCACCCCCTGTTTAATTCATGTTTGAACTCTGGTTTGAATTTATAGCTCAGGTCCAATGTCACTTTTAGGTAACCTACTGCAACAGGTCTAATTTACACCCCATTGCCTGAAAAAGACCAACATGTAAGGAATTAAGATGATTCATATGTCAGATAAACCGAGAAGTTGAAGAGTGCAACACTTTGAAATTTAAATATTGCCACTAAAAATACATGCAGCAAGAATTTCCTCAGACTGTAATTTTGTTGGAAGCACAATGGAAACCTCATTAATGCTCATAAAAGGGGTATCTAAGATTCGTCTAACAGCTGGCAGTAGGAAAAATTTGAGGAAATTCCCAACTATAAAGTTGCTATTCTATGAATCTGTTGAGCAACTGAATAAACAAATTAATCTGTATGTCTTTTTATCCAATATAATTCCACGGCTATCTTATTTAAAAGTTGGTGAGCTACATTCTGGTTATGGTTGTCCATGTCACATTGATTAGTCAATTCTTGATCTTTTTAACATTAAATTTATAATCATGGACAGATTTTTTTCCTTAACTACAGTAATTTCATTTTGTGACCTTTCATTTATATAACACCTTTCATGACTGAGAATATCCCTAATCAATTTCCAATTTGGAAATATAGTCACAGCTGTAGATATAAAATATGCAGTTGGCAACTTGCTGCAGCAACTCTTCAGATATTTCCACAGAATCCTATACTTCTGCTGGAAACGGCACAAGAAGTTTCATTTTAACATGAACATTTTGTTTCTACATGAAAGATGGCAGCTCCAGCAGCATTTGCTGAGTGTTACAATGTCAACTTTGATTTTGTGATCGACTCTATTGAAGTGGGACTTAAACACACACACCCTTCTCAAGCTCTACTGACTATGCCTGCTCTTTAGGATAACTATTCGCTGTACATCTTCAAAGGTCAAGTGAGAGATCTCAAAATTGCTAATAATCACAAAGCCATTAGTAGCGGATATTGAAAGTAGTGCTGAACACTTGAAAATTTGATAGTTCAAGATGGTCTTTTAGCTTGTTAAAGATGAACAGACCATTCTTTTCTGCAAAAACAACAAAGTACCTATGTCTTAAATTAAATGTATTTGACATAAGGTGAGGGTGTGATAGGAATGTCCTCCATTGCTTGTCATCACTGTTTCTTTAATCAACACTAATTGGTTCAACTTCATCAACATCTTCAAACAAGCTGAAAAATAACACCTCATTAAATCAATATTTAATGCTACAAAAAGAAAAGTTTCATTTCATGATTTACTTTAGGACTTTGATTTTAATATTGAGACTTCTCTAAACTATGTATTTTTCTTCTTAAAATGTTACCAGAGACATCTTGCATTTTACTTTTCCTTTTAGAAAATCTATTAGTACTCATCAACTTGAGCTTTTAAAACATTTGTCATATAAATTATTTAGTATCTAGAATCTTTATGGTAATAGAAGTGCTGCATTTTTGTTAGTAAAGAACAGTAGCATATCGTTAGAACATTCAAATCTTTGAGTGGTATTGTTAAAATCCATTGCACGTGGAAATACAATGTTCTCAAATAACTTTAGATACAATGTGAAAAAGTTACAATAACATTTTCTATTCAATAATAGTCCAACAGCACAACCAAATTCTTCAATTACCTATGTATAATTTTCAATGACATCTATTATTTTACATTTTTTTTTCATCATTTTAATGTGTATTATAAATTTCTTTTCCAGGCAGCTGTAACAAGACAAACTCCACCTGAACCAAAATCGACTAAAGAGAAAAGTAGCATATTGCAAAATGTTGAACATCCAGCACCATTGAGGCTGAGGGACAGAAAAGCAGAGGTCACAATGATTGGACAAAACAAATCAATAATGACTGGTTCATTTGAATCTTCAATAGCACCTCAGGTCAAGGTTA